GCCCATCCCACTACGGGCAGTGCCATCCTTAGGCAGGTGGGCCTGGGCAGTGTAGGAAAGGTAGCTCAACCAGCCAAGAGGAGCAAGCCAGTAAGCGGTGTTCCTCCATGGTCTCTGCTTCAGTTTCTGCCCTGCCTTCCTCTGTGATGGATTGTAAAGTGTAAGATGAAGCAAGCCATTTGCTCTCTAAGTTGCATTTGATCATGGTGTTTATCACAGCAACAGAAAGCAAGTTAGAATAGTGCTTTAATTCACCATGATGTGAGGAGCCTCTACACATTCCTGTAGCCATGAACTTCTCCGTAACAGACTGAAACCATGAGTGAAAACAAACCCTTCCTCCCTTAAGTTGCTTCTGTCAGGTATATTGACACAGCAAGGAGTAAAATAACTACTGGTTATTATTTGCCATAATAACATTATTTAGAGAAGCAGGTGAGGACTAGAGAGATGGTTCAGTGGTTAAGACCACTGGCTGCTCTTGCAGAGGACTCAGGTTCAGTTCCCAACACTCACAGGGCAGCTAACAAACGTCTGTAACTCCAGTTCCAGGGGGTCCAATGCCCTCTTCTGGACTCTCAGTGGCACTGCACTCATGTAAAACACATACATGCAGAAAAAGCACTCGCGGGGAAAATACAAATAATTTTTTTTACAAAAAGAAGTGGGTAAGAGGGGAAAGAGTATTAGGCAGGAAGAAAATGTTACAGAGAGGGAAGTCTTGGAAGATGCATATGTCAAGTGCCACATCAGAGAGATGTAGAATGAGAGTGTGTCGATGGAGAGCTGAGGGGAGACTGTAGGCCTGGAGCCAAGCTAGGCCACAAAGACAGCAGGGTTGTGAAGAGGGGACAGTTTGTGGAAGTGGAGGTCTGAAGGTAGAAGGAAGAGCTGGAGGACCCAGAGACTCACAGGCCTGTGATGAAGAGGTTGGATAATGATGTGGCACTGAGGCCTGGGTGAAACTGCAAGAATGGACCAGTGAGGGTGACAGAAGTAGTGAGATACGGTTAGGGCTGGGGATGTTGGTCAGTGGGTAGAGTGCTTACCTAGCACCCAGGGAGCCCTGGGTTCCATCCACAGCCCTGCATGAACTAGGTGTGGTGGTGCACACACATGTGTAATTCCAACAGATGGGAGGTGGAGGCAGGAGGATCAGGAGTTCAAGGCCAGCCTGGGCTACATGAGCCCTGTGTCCTTTTTTCTTTTTCAGATGAATTTATTTATTTGTTTATTATTTATTTATTTATTTATTTATTTTTATTTGAGACATAATGTCCATGGGGCTCCAGCTGGCCTGGAACTCACTATATAGACCAGGCTGTCCTTGATCTCAGAGATCCATCTGCCTCTGCCTACTGAGTGCTGGGATTAAAGGCATGTGCCACCACGCCCAGCTATTTAATTTTTATTTATGTGTATGAGTGTTTTGCCTGCATGTAAGTACACCATGTGTATACAATGCCTGAAGGAGCCAGAAGAGGGAATCCTACTTACGTTTTGAGACAGGGTTTCACTTTGTAACCCTCACTTCCCTGGAACTCACTATGTAGATCAGGTGGCCTCAAACACAGAGATCCACCTGCCTCTGCCTCCTGAGTGCTGGGATTAAAGGTGTACACACTGGCTTTTTCTTATTTTTAAACTTCCTCTTTTTTTTTTTTTTTTTTTTGAGAAAGGGTCTCCCTGTAGCCACAGCTGGCCTGCCTCTGCCTCCCCCCAATACCTGAGACTAAAGGTGCACACTAGCACACACGACTCTAAAATAATTTATTTTTAAAAATTTTATGTGTATGGGTGTTTTTCCTGCACAACTGTATGTACACTATATGCATGTAATGCCTGCAGAGACAAAAGAGGGAGTTGGATCCCCTGGAACTGGAGTTATGGAGAGTTGTGAGCTGCCATATGGGTGCTGAGAAATGAACCAGGATCCTCTGCAAGAGCAGCCAGTTTTCTTAACTTCTGAGCCATCTCTCCAGCCCCTTATTTTTAAAGTGTGTGTGTGTGTGTGTGTGTGCGCACACGCGCGCACGTGCGTGCAGGTGAGTGTAGGTGCCCATGGAGATCAGAAGAAGGTGTCAAATTCCCTGGGGCTGGAGTTACCGGTGGTTGTGAGCTGCCCGATGTACATGCTAGAAATTGAACCTGGGTCCTGTGGTAGAGAAGCAAGTGGTCTTAACCACTGAGCCAACTCTCCAGCCCCTAGGTTCTACAGCCTTCTAAAACAGCACCATCACTGGGGAACAAGCTTTCAAAGCATGAGGCCATGGGGAGGGGGGATTTCAGATTCAAACCACAACTCAGGAAAAGAGAGTGCAAGGCAGGGTTGGAGAGATGACTCAGTGGTTAAGCACTGGCTGCTCTTACAGAGGGCCCCAGTTTGATTCCCAGCACCTAATGGTAGCTAACAACCATCTGAAATTCCAGTTCCAGGGGATCTAATGCCCACTTGTGGCCTCCTCTGGCCTTCCATGACATGTTAAAAGGTACATTTATAAACATGCATGCAGAACAGTTATACACATTAAAATAAATTAAAATAAACAAAAACCAAAGACTGGAAGGTAGGGCTGTTCAGGGGCTAAGTTGCTGTGGTAAGCTTTCAGACAGCCAGCTTCATCTAAGGATTGAGCTTCTCACTGAGACAGGGGATTGCCATGTCCCTTCACCTCTCCTGCCCTTCCTCCAGCCCTCCAGCCCTCTGCACATGCACAGCCATGGCTCCTCAAATAAGGAGAGGTTGCAGGTCCTCTGGGGACCCTCTCCCAGTCATTGATCTGCCTGCCACCCCCTTGCTCCGTCTTAGAAAGTCCAGCCACACACAGAGAGGCAGCCTTTCCCCAGAAGCAGGGAGGTAAGCTGGCCAGTTCTTGGCCAGCCCAAAGCCCCAACAGATGAAATATTAAAGCAGCTGGAAGGCAGAAAGAGCAGCTGAGGACTCACCCTTGGGACTCTGGGGTGGCAGAGCTGGCAGCAGCAGCTGTAGCCCACCCCCGTACCCACCACTAGTCTTTGTTCTTCAAGGACCCCCCCCAACACACACAAACTCACACACACTTACTTCAAAGCTACAGGCAGGGAAATCTGGGGAAAGGAAGAGGGGAAGGGAAGAGGGCACACACAGGCCCCAGTAAGACAGACACAGATGGAAACGTACACTCATAGGCCTGCATGCCTGATTCACAATAAATACATATGGATCCATATATGACCTTCAATGTCCTGAAAAAAATGTTTCTCTGTGTGTTAACGTGAGTGCAGGTATATGTGGGGGGGGCACACATGCATGTGTTTGCATGTATATGGAGGTCAAAGGACAACCTAGGTGTTGTTGCTTAGGTGCTGTCCACCATTAGCCTAGAGTTTGCCAAGCAGGCTAGGCTGGCCAGCCAATGAGCATCAGTGAGCTGCCTACACCTGCCTCCTCAGCACTGGGATTGCAAGTGGGCTGTGTGTGTGTGTGTGTGTGTGTGTGTCTGTGTGTCTGTGTGTCTGTGTGTCTGTGCATGCAATCACATGTGTGCACATTTGAAAAACAGAGGAGGCTATCAGGTGTCCTATTCTATCACACTGCCTTATTCCTTTGAATATAGATCTCTCACTGAGCCTGGAGCTTGCAAGTCCCAACATTCCTGTCTCCACTTCCCACAGTGCTGGGGTACAGGTGCACATGTAGCTGCACTCTACTTGTTACATGGGCGTTGGGACTGAACTCAGGTCTTCATGCTTGCCACAGCAAGTGCTTTTATCCACTGAACCCTGTCCCCACTTCTTTTTAATGTGGGTTGTGGGGATCCAACTCAAATTGTTGTGTTTTCTTTTTTTAATGTCTTTTTGAGACAGGGTCTCCCTGTAGCCCCAGCTGGCCTGGAACTTACTATGTAGACCAGGCTGGGCTTGAACTCAGAGATCCGCCTGCCTCTGCCTCCCGAGTGCTGGGATTAAAGGCCTGCTCCATCACGCCTGGCACAAATGTTTTTTTTTAAATTCTGCATAACTCTGCCCTCTGCAATGGCTCTGGGAATGTCACTTGCAGAATTGAAGCAGAAGTAGTCCATATTCCTGGATTCCACTAGGGAAAGGTTTCTGGGGTCCTAACACCCCTGATATTGAGTTTTCCTCATTCAACATGCTTAATGGGAGGATTTAAACAGGACTCCATCTGTTACACTCAGACAGCTTAAGATCACAGACAGAGTAACCAAACAGTGAATTGAACTCAGGATCCCAAAACTTCCAACCCAGAAACACCCAAGGCCCAGCCATTCTATTCTCAAACTCTTTTATCTAATCAGATATGGTGGCCCACACCTGTAATCCCAGAACAGAACGTGGGAGACTGAGGCACACAGACTGCCATGATTTCAAGGCCAGCTTGAGTTATTTAGTAAATTCAAGGCCAGCCTGTGATGCATGACAACATTCTATCTCAAAAAACAAAACAAGGCTAGGATAAAGCTCAGTTGGTTCTATCCCAGTACCACAGAAACTGGGCGTGGTGACTGGTAACCCCAGAACTGCGGGAGGGGGGTGAAGGCAGGATAATCCTCCTGAAGTTTAAAGTCATCTTCGGCTACATAGTGAGTTCAAGGCCAGCTTGGAGTACATGAGATACTACAAGAGAGACAGAGAAAGAGTTTAGAAAGGAAGAAAGGGAGGAAAGAGGGAGAGAGGGAGGAAGAGAGGGAAAGATGGAAGGAGGGAGGAAGAAGGAAGGGGAGATGGAGAGGTAACCCCTAACTTCTTAGCTGGAGCCAGCACCCCCTTAGACACAAGCTCTGGAGACAGTCAGGCAAGGACTCTAGGTGTCCACTGCCACTCCCAGTTGAAAATTAGCCTCCTTTGCCCAGAGCATCACTTTGAACAATCATGCCCCGCCCCCTGCAGGCTCCTGTCTTCGCCACCGCCGCTGAAGGTCCTCCAGGCCTGCAGAGGGCGCTGTGCCCCACTGGCTCCGGGCCGCTCTGGCCCACAGGCAGGCCAGGAGGCCGCCTCGATGGTGGTGCGCTGTCCAGCATTTCAGCAATCGGCAGCGTTGCCCGCAGGAAGACAGGGGCCCGGGGCTGTCGGGAGGCCGCGGAGCTGCCTTGTAGAGCCGAGCCTTGGAAACAATCTGGGACAAACTGCACTGGGAGGCCTGGCTCCAGCGCCCAAAAGACTGCAGAGGTCAGCGGGGAGGTGAGAGCCTCTGATGGGGCGGGGATGTTTCCCAGAGGGGCAGGGGCTGGGATGGACCTCAGGCCTCTCTAGCTGGGGGACTCAGATTAGCAGATGCGGGAGCAGAGGGTCGCTGTTGAGGAGTTGGTTGCTGGAGCATCTGTCCTGTGGGGTATGCGAGATACCGCGTAAGAAAGAGATAGAGAATGCTGTTCTTTTCATCTAGAGTGATGGATAAAGTGTGGACCATGAAGAGTCATGGATAAGACTCTCCTGGACATAAATTGACCATGGTCCAGCCCATGAGGATGCCAGGAAACCCGCCATTCAATTACCCTCCCCACCCCCAACTTAGAAGCACCTGCTCCCTAGGGAAAGAGACTCAGATGCAGGGACACTGTAGAGATCACTCGAAAATGTGGAGACGGCAGGCCACCCCCCGCCCCGCAGCCTGGATGCTGGGCCTCTGTCCAGCAGGGGGTGCCTGCGTAAGGGACAGTCTGGCCTCTTTCCCAGCTACCTAAATGCCCCTGGGGAGGCAGGAGCTGGCAGTGAGAATTGGGTCTCTCACGCTGGCATTTATTCTCACACCAGGAAGCGAAGGGAGGGTGCAGATGGGAAAATAGCCACTAGGAGTTGGGAAGGACTCTCCATGGCCCCTTCTGAGAGGATTTCTAAGGCCCAGGATGGGTTCAGCCCAGTAGTAAATTTCTGATAAAGGGCTGTGAAAAGAGATGCAGCCACTGGCTTGCCATCTTCTCCCCAACTCTCCTTCCCAGGGCTCTTGCCTGGACAGTGAAGCCTCCTGCAGTTCTTGCTTTTGACAGTAGGTCTTCAAGAGGACAGATCAGGGAGATACAGAAAAAGGCAACTCAGGTCAGACCTAGCACTCTGGTGTCTGCTCTGTCCCAGCCACAACTTATCACTCCTCCAGGACCTCCCCCTCACCTGCTTCTGGCTCCATTGCACCTGGACTAGTGTTTTGTCCTGTAGCAAGAGAAAAAGATAGGTACTTTGATGGACTGCAGGGCTGGGGGGAGCATCTTAAGGTCATGAACTCAATTTATACCAGATCCTCCCCCAGAGCCAGAAATAGATCCACATTGGTTAGGAAATCACTCCCACACAAAACTAGCTTGTGGGTTCCTTAACTTTATGCCCCATCCCACCTTCTTATGTGGGGTGGAGGAGGAATTCTGGAAAGTGACTAAAGGGATTAGGTTTTCAGAGGTGAGTGGTGGATGGTTTGGGAGTCATGAACTCTGAAGTCAAAGAGATGTGGGATCAATTGTAGGTTTGGTGACTTCGCTTTGGGTAAGCCAATTAACCTTTCTGAGCCTGTTTCCTAATGTGTAAACAGGTGTAGTGTTGACAACCTCTTTTGTTGTTACTGGAGACTGGAGGCATGGCTCAGTGGTACAGTGCTGGTGGGGGGAAGGGGGGTGTCTTTTGCTGTTGAACCAATGAATAGGCAGCTGTTTAAACTATAAGATGCTAGAGTCAATGAGATGGTTCAGCAGATAAAGGCACTTGTGGCCAAGCCTTGTCAGGACAAGTTCGATACCCAGATCCCACATTGTAGAAAGAGAGAGCTGACTTCTGCAAGTTGTCCTCTGAACTCCACACGCGTTCCATGGCTCATGTGCCCTCTCCCCTGCCACACATAAATAAATGTAAACTATAGGATGCTAGATAAATTTTAGCAAATAGAACACAAGTAAGAATATCTTAAAGAGCTATGCGAAGATGTCTGAAGCATGTCTTTTTCTTCCCAAAGAAGGTAGATATTGGTTGAAGGTTTCACACCAGGTTCTGTGCTTGGCATGATGCTGCAACTGACTGTTAGTCCTCAACACTAGAAGACCTGAGAAATGAGGCTTCAGTGACTTTCTCAAGGTCATGGAGATACTTAAGCTGTGTTCCCTGGGGCAGAAGTATTGCTGATGGCTTGTCCCAACCTCTTGCTGTCAAGGTCCAGTTGAGTGTCAGTTTCTTGACTGGGTGCCAGAATACAGGTATGGAGCCTCAGGCATACACAGTGCGGTAAGGAGGTAAACACCCCAAGGTCACTGGGACATTCAGAGGTAGAATGAACTATGCACTGGCAGCTGGACACAACTACTGCAACGCACCCCTTGCTGTGATCCCTCCTCTAGAAGGCAAAGACCCATCTGCTCACTACCACACCTGAATCCCACCTCCTCTGTTTGGCTGACTCTTGCTGACCTCAGCAAGCCGGTGGCAATCCATTCCATTCTGAGTGGTTAACTCTCACCTCCCTGATAGCCTCAGGTCTTGGCAGCTGCCCACACTATTGGAATGAGCCTCTCTTCCTGCCCACATCTCCTCCTTTGCCCACATAATATTCCCTCCATAGTCAACACCACAGTTCTCTGATCCCAGAAGCCAGTTAGGGTACTGATAAGGGAAGAGCCATCTCCACTTGGGCTTTTTGTTTTGTCATAGTGCTAGGGATGGAACTTGACATATTCCCCAGCATCTCTTCCTCAACCCCACATACACTCTATCATTCATCATGACCATGACCCTTCACCTACACACACTCATCTCATCTTCACATAATCTGGTGTGAAAGGTACCACTGACAGGCAAGGCCTAGAAACGACTTTATCAAGATCATAGGAAAAAGTCTTGGTACAACCTAAACCAACTGCCTCAGGGGGTCAGTATGGCTTCCAGAATACCACATTGTCCTGGGTTCTCCAAACTCCCCTGGGTAAAGGTCCCCCATAGCATGGTGGACTAGTAGAAGTCAGAGGAGGCGGCATGGGGTAAGAGAGCTGAAGAACTCTGGGACAGGAGTACAGGATCTTCTTTCTGAGCCCAGATATGACTCTGAATTCTTGTATGACCTTGAACAGGTCCCCTTGAATCTTTGGCTCTCAGTGTCCCTGTGTATAAAGTGATAGGGTTTCATTAGATGACTCCCCCCCAAAGTCCCTGACACTATCAGCATTGCAAGATCTCGCTGCTCTATAAATCTGTATATTGAGCAGGGCTTGGCAGTGCAGACTTGTGATCCCAATTGTTTGGGAGGGTGAGACAGGAAGATTTAGAGGTTAAGGTGAGTGTAGACTAAAGAATGAGTTCAAGACCAGCCTGGACAACTTGGTGAGACCCTGTGTCAAAATAAAAAGAAGACTGGGGATATAGCTCAGTGGTAGAGCATCTGCCTAAGGAACAGGACTTCAATCCCCTCCTGTAAAACACAGCGTGTATGTGCGTGTGTGTGTGTGCATGCACGCGCACACACTCACACACACACACACACACACACACACATTGTGGGTTGGGAATATGGCTCAGTCAGTAAAGTGCTTGACGTGCAAACATGAGGACCTGAGTTTAGATCCCCAGCACCCACATAAAGACCCAGGTGCAGCACTACATGTGTATAATCCCAGTGTTAGGAATGTGGAAACAAGTAAATCTCTGGAGCTCTTGACCAGCCAGTCTAGCCAAACAGCAAGCTCCAGGTTCAGTGAGAGACCCTGTTTCAAAATATAAGGTAAGTTGGATATGGTGGGGCAGGAGGCTCAGCCTCAGAGAGATGGCCTTATGGAGATGGCCAGTGAGTAGGGAGAAGTTCAATGAGGGAAGGAGTCTGACTGAATAACATGGGAAGAAGAAGAGGTCATGAGCTGGGGAGATGGCTCAGTGGCAAAAGTGCTTGCCACACAAGCATAAGGACCTGAGTTCAATCCGCAGTGCCCACATGAAAAAAACCAGGCCCATGGCACACACTTGTAATCGATCCCAGCACACTGGAGGCACAGGCAGATCCTGGGCCTTCCAAGCCAGACTAGCCCAATTGGTCCATCCCAGGTGAAAATGAGAAATTCTGTTGCTCAGCTGGAAGGGGCTTACAAGATGACTCAGCAGGTAAAAACATTTACTTCCATCCCTGGGACCCACATGGTAGAAGGAGGGAGCCAAGTCCTACAAGCTGTCCTGTGCCCTCTCACATGTATGCCATGGACACACACACACACACACACACACACACACACACACACACGAGGTTAGAGACAGGGCAGGAGGACTAGAGAAACACAGAGGCCTTCTGTAGGGAGAGTCCATTACAGCGATCGCAGACTGTAGTCTGCTCCAGCCTTGTTCATCACATGGGGACACCTGTGCTCTTTTACGCCTTCCTTGTCTTCTGGGTCATGGGCACAGGAGGGTGACAGTTTCATCTGTAACACCCCAACCCTCTTGGCCATCCAAAAGGGGCTCTCAGGAGACCTGGGCAGATGACTGGACTCAGAGAAAGTCCCCAGATGGCCACATAAACCTTGGATCCAGGTTAGGCCCCCCCCGATCCCTCCATGGGAGCTCCCCATACCTAAAAGCCACCAGTCTGCAGTGATGCTTTCTCAGCTGGCAGCCTGGCTCAGCCTCTGCCGCCCTCAGCCTGGCCTCCTGCCCACTGCAGAGGCTGCTGTGCCAGCCGACAAAGCCTGGATCCCCCAGCATCATTCTGGGGCCTCCAAAAGCTATGAGGAACTGGGTTAGGTTCCCTGATCATGGGATGCAGGTGTCTTCTTCATCTGAGGGGACCACTAGCAATTACCCAGGATAGAGACATGTAAAAACAAGTTGTGCTGAATTAGTTCTCTTTCTTTCTTTTCTTTTTCTTTTTCTCTTTTTTTTTTTTTTTTGTCTTTTTGAGACAGGGTCTTCCTGTAGCCCCAGCTGGCCTGGAACTCACTATGTAGACCAGGCTGGCCTTGAACTCACAGAGATCCACCTGCCTCTGCCTCTTGAGTGCTGGGATTAAAGGCTTGCGCCACCACATGCCTTTTCTTTTTGAGGCAGGGTCTCACTATGTGTCACAGGCTAGCCTAGAACTCACTATATACCCCACAATGACTTTGAACTTTTGGAAATCCTCAAGTTCCAAGTGCAGGGATTACAGGCATATGCCATCACACCTAGTACATGTTGAATTCCTTTGATTTTATGAACAGTATCCCAAGGAATGTAGCTCAGTGATAGAG